GTACCTACCTGACCCTAAAACTAACCTAAACTCAACTCACCTTGGTCCTAAACCCAAACCCAACCCACCAACAGCATTTAAACCAAATGGGGACTCGATTTTTGTCCCCAAATGCACCAGTTGTCCCCAAATGTAGGCATTTTGTCTTAAAATTGCCCCCAAATGTCACCAGAACCCCACCCACACACACACACACAAACCGAGTCATGCTGCAGTCATGAGACCTAAAACAAATTAAACACCTAAAAACACTGATGACCAGTTTATTTGAGTTCATTAAAAAAGATTAACCTTAGTTTAGTTTTTTCTGTAGAATTTAATAAAAATGTGCTTAGTCTGGATTAAACATCTGATCTAGTGAAACATATTCCAATTGCCCATAAAGCCAAATCAAAGCCGAGTTAAAGCCTGGTTAAAGCTTGGTTAATTGATGTCTGTTCTCAGTCTGACCAGCAGGCGGAGCTCTGCAGCTCTGACGTCAGTGTCTACAGAAAGAAGCGTGAAGAAGAAACTAGACCGGAAACAAACTCTTACAACACTTGAAGCTTTTAGCGCCAACCAGAACCTGACTTTTACAGACCGAGACRAGAAATGGAGTTCTACAGAGCGAAACCAGAACCGGAGTTCTACAAACGGGGACCATAAGGACCACAGACTGCCAGTCCCGCATCCTGGAGATGGACTCCCTGCAGCTGTTCCTGGACCGGTTTGGACCCAGCTGTGAGGCGGTCAGTACCTGAATTCAAGTCACGTTTGCTTCCGTTCATCAGGTGAACGTTGTGACGTCACGGTCAAATGGTTTCTTTGTAAACACTAAGACAAAACTCCTGAGGATCAGAGGAGATTCGGGTTCGACCCAGTCTGGGGAAACCCTGTAAAGTCTTACAAATATAGATAAAGTTTGGTTCAATCAAAGAAAACCGAGTTAAGGAAATCTGTTGTGTTCTTCCAGACTTTTGTTTTTCTGTAAAGATAAAAATAAACTCTCAGGCATTAAAGTGTTTGTCAAATTTAAATTGATTAAATTATGGACGTACGGTAAGTACTTAATTCTGTCCTACGTTGCTTCTAAAACCTGACTTTGTGTAAATAAAATATAAAGAAATTGGGCACTTTATGTAGCAAGACACAAACTGGACCTTAGAAAGTTTAAATATGTTGAAATATCTGTAAATGATTAGYTCCAAGTTAAACCAAATTATTCACTGATACTTTTTTACTGAGAATCGGAAAAGAGTTTCACTCAGGGCTGCATAACAACGCTAATTTGTTGTCATCAGGAAAAACTGCATAAACTGCAATAAATAACTGGCTCAGATATTTGCATCCATGCGTTTAGTCAGCATCAGTCTGATAAACAAAATGAACCAGATACCACATCAAATCACAGCCACAGTGGATAAAATGTTGCACAGCTGCAGAGAGAAAGTTTGCAGTTGTATTTAGGTCTGTTAACTTTTATTTAAAATGATTTAACCAATTTTCAGATGTTTTTATTATTTATTAAATAACTGATAGTAAGGAGGTGATTTTCAGTATTTAGAAAATGTTTTATGGAGCGATGTCGTAAAGTCATTAAGAAACTGTAGTGCATGCAGTTTGTTGTTTCACTGCTACTACAGCAACTGTGTCTAGCTGGAGTTTTTAAAAATAAAACTGTCATGTTGGAATAGAAATGATGTATTAGTTTGTTTGTTTTTTTGCTCTAAACCCAGAGCAGAAAGACATCAACTCTTCATACTTAAGTATTTGTTAATTTACTGCACATCATATTGTCATCACCATATTAAGGCACTGTTATCACACATTGCAGGTTTTCCTCATATTGTTCAGCCATAAAACGAACAAAACTATGTTAATAAAGCCTTATGTTTTACAAAAACACACCAATTACTCCGAATCCGCCCTAATCCAACCTGAGTCCAATCTAAATCTGAGCCCCCGCCCCGCCCCGCCACTCTAAACCTAAATCTAAAGTCCGAGTGATGAAACATTTCAGGATTTGTGACAAAAGGCTGTCAACAAAGGTAAAAGGAAATATTTACAAGAGATTAATGAGACCAGCTGTGATGTATGGTTTGGAGATGGCGATATGAACAAAGGAGACAGAAGTGGAAGTGTCAGAGCTGTGACGAGGATGGAGAAGATTAGGAATGACATCATCAGAGGTACGGCACAGGTTGAAGGACTGGGAGATAAACGTGGTGTCAGCTTGGTATTAATCACTGATGGATGCTGTGTGTCTGCAGGAGTCTGTGTGGCTGAAGAACATCTTCACCTTCATCACTCAACACCTGAGTCCTGGTACATGTGGCTCCGCCCCCTCTTCTGATGGCCAGTCGTCTGCAGGTGAGCCAACCAAGGGTTGGAAACAAGGTTTCTCCACCGGTCACATTTGGTGGAGGAGAAAAATTTATATCGGCCATTCAGACATTTGACCAGCTATTGTTTTCTTTTTTGTGTTAGCTGGTTACAAACTCAATTATTACAATCACATCATACATATGATGTATGGGAGACCGGGGACAGTTGCAACACTTTTTGCATTTGACTCTGTTACTCAGAGATGGTTTCAATTAGACAAACCAAATTTTAATACAATAAACTTACATCTGCCTGTTAATAGTCAAAACCATTTATAGATGATTAAAGAATGTAAATTCTTCACAATTTGCATTTGAAAATGAAAAGTTAGATGTTGCAACTGACCCCGGGTCTGAGGGACAGTTGCAACATTGTTTGGGTGTGGTTACAACATATTAATACAACATATTTCACTGTAAATTAAAGTTTTTATTATTGTTATATTCATATTATTGCTAAATTAATAAAAACTACAAGTTTTAATGATATTACAGTGTAATTTATTTATTCTTTTTGATCAAATGACAAATATAAATTTGCCTT